TGGCAGAGCCGCGGTGCCGTCGGCTCGACGAATAATATAGCCGCCTATAAAGAATCGCCGGTAACTCCTCGGCGCCCCCGATGCCAAACGGCCGTAAACTGCCCCCTCCTGCGTACCGCTCACGGGCCCACAGCACAAGCCGCTCGCCCGTGAATAATGGATGACGTTTGGCAGCTTCAGAGCTTTGATAAAAGGGGGCCGCTTCTTGAAGCCAGCTAATCAATGTTAAGGCCCCGTTATATTATGCCCAGATCGATAAATGGATGGAGATGGTGGCGGGAAGTTGTGGCCAAGAGCGTTCCTGAGCTTGCTTTGAATGTTGGATTCCGGCTCCTGAAGGTCCAGGAAGGAGCGGCGGTATTTTGACAGACACTGGCATGTTAACGTCCAAGTGGCATCCAAGCGATAGAATGTGCTCGAGGAGGGCTACGCTGTGGAGATGGAGCAATGATAGAAGATCAGCTCGTGGTGGGGTACTGGATTGGATTGCTATATTGCAGGACCTGGAAATCTTTGACAACTTGGAGAGGTTTTAAGCAAGCAGTGGGTTGATCATGGCTGACGGTGAGGATGAGGATGAAATTTATTTCGTGTCGATGAGAAGTCGAGGCTGGTTCAGGGTCATTAGCTCGTCGAATTCAAAACGACCGTGAGACATCGGTTTGGAAGCTTGCTCGCTGATCACCGGATTAAAGATATTTATTTAACCAATTAAACAAATGCCTTGCATGACTCCCAATATATATTTACATGCACAGCGCTGCGTGAGATTCAAATTGTGGCATGGTACCCGATTGATGCCCAATCCCACGGATCACCGGGCATCAAGCACAATGGGCTTTGTTGACGAAGGCCGCAGGGAGACAACTGCTGCTCGAACGCGAGCGGCTTGTCCGACACGACACTACAGCGGCACACTGCACCGGGAGCAGCTGTTCTGCTCCTGCCGCCATGGCGATGTGCCGCGCGCCATGGCAGCACCGACACAAGACGGCCCTTCTGGTACCCGGCAGCAGGAGGGGAAGCCCTTTCTACCAAGAGACGCCAATCTGCCACAAACACGCACTGAGTTTTAAATCAACGTCTCTGTTCGCGGCCCCGAGCCGGTGTTGAGAAGTCCAAAGTCCGACGGTAGGGGCCGTCATCTTAAAACCACGGTGCCCGTTCACATGGAGCCTCTGGGGGGCCGGTGATGAGCCGAGCGGACCCCTGGCTGTGATTTGAACTCGCAAACTTTCGAGATTGCGAGTCATTGCTCCAACCACCGCGCCGCCAGTCTCACGGAAGACAACGCGTGGGGGTGCTGTGCGAGCATGCCATCTCTCGCCCGACACGTGCGCTCAGCAGACGCTCGAGGGCAGGGACGTTGAGGACCCGGCCTTTGTCGATCCGTCTCCACCCGCGCACACATCCATTGAGAATGCTGCAGTGAAGGAATGCTGCAAGCATTTATCTTTCTGGGCAATGGCCACAGAAGACATGTGGAATGAATTTAAGACGGTTTCACATTTCTTTCTTACCGCTTTCCTTGTGTATGTGCACGGCTATTTAAATATTTATTTCCACCCGTGCAAGCTTGCTTTTGAGCAGGAAGTTTGTACGGGACGTTTCTTGCTGAAAGCGGGCTTTTGCGTCAAAGTACTGTGTGGAGTTCGCTCTGTCGCTGGTTAGACAGGGTCTTGCGACAGCATTCATCGCGATGCTGCGCAAGCGAAGATGTCGGCGGGAGACTTCAGCAGGAAAATGTGATGACCTTACAATCACGAATGCAGAACTTAAATGAACAGCTTGCATATGGATTAGAGATGACAGAACTGTCGTGCTGTATTAAGGCATTCTCACCAGGCTTGCATGCATGTCCACTGCCACAGGAATGTGGAAAGTCCACCACCGATAGAGGAGCGGCACCCACAACAGCTCTGCATGAGTGACAGTGGCCGTTGCTCATCCCCGTTGGCCACCCGAAGGCTGCAGTGGAAATTCCACATTCCTGTGGTGGGAACCATTTCTCCACTGGATATCCTCATCACTGGTGTCTTTCCCCAATGTGGTATTTATTTTACCAACCACTGCTGGATGTAGGCTTCCTCACACCAGTGCACTAACCACGGCGCCACCACTCCACGCCAAGATTCACATGACATTGCTCGTTTCGTTTAATTGTGTCTGCAGATCGATTTGTTATTGGCTATTCAGTTATTGTTATACTTTGCACCAAAGTCTTTTGTTGTACATTTTTTATATTATTTGTATTTTACACCGCAGGGCTTTCATATACAAGAATTTGAAATCCCCGTCTCCTACTGCCACCACTTCATCCACCTCCCCCCCAGACATCTGCAGGTCAATGTGTAACGCACATCATCATCTGCGTGTGATCTGTCAACCGTATCTTCCAAGTCGCCGGCATGTATTCCAGGCACACAGATTAAAAATATATATATAGTTCAGCTTTGCTGGAGCTAAACCCCATGTGAGCACGTGGAGGTGCGTCTCTTTCAGCCGTAGACGACTGTGGCGGCTTTTGTTTGTGCAGCGACAACGCTTTAGCCGCACGTAGGCGTCCGTTGACACAGCAGCAGCACGGTTGGCGGACCGCGTGGTTCCGAGCGCGTTCTGCCAATTGAGCTGGCAGCGGTTCGATTCCCGCTACAGACGCACCGCCGTATCTGCCCACACGGAATTTGCCAGAGGACCCGGTCGGTCTTCTGTTGAGTGGACAACGAAAAGTCTGCGACTGTCACTCGCAGGAATAAGGTTATTGGTGTTCCAGTGTCATAGCCCAAGTATTAGTGGGGCATTTCCACTGTTGGCTCGGGCACGTAAACAGGAGATGAGACCCAACGAATGTAAGTCCGAGTGGGAAACCAAATTTGGCTTCAGCTTGAGTAATATTCGCGGAATGAATCTCAAAGGACTCTCACCTGATTAAATAAAGAATGCAAAACACATACTGTATATACTTAGCAAGTGTGCGTGCAAATGCCTCCGTGATCATTGCAATATTTTTTTGTAATAAAAAGTCAAATGCCATTAAACGGTCACGAATGAAATGTACGTTTACGGACGCCGACTCGCGATGTTCGCTCACGTATACGATGATAACAAAGACAATGTACAGCCCTCCGTCAATCCACTGCTGGATGAAGGCCTCCCCACGCCGTGCTGGTGAGCGTTGTGTGGCCACGAGCCCGCATGGATGTCACTCGCCACTGATGGTAGCCGCCGGACGGGAATCAAACCAATGTGGCCAGGTTCGTAGAGCTGCGCGCAAAACACCACTCACATCCACCGGTACTTAAGGAACCTGGAGTAGCCACGGAAAGCCTCGCTCGCGTACAGCAGGAGAGCGAGTAAATTAAAGGCCCCTGTCTGGGAGCGTTCTTGGTACGATCGCGTCCTCCTCCGCCGTGCCACCGGCTAAATGCCTCTGCGTTGTGTCTTACCACACCGGCTAGACAAAAGCCAGACAGACACACACAACATCCATACTGCAGGGTGTAGACACAGGGTGTCACCGCGAGGTGTGAAGAAGGAGAGAGACCCCGAGTCTCGAACACTCCTCGACTCGGGGAGAGCTCCAAGGCGCTCTCTCGAGTCGGCGTGGAGGAGGGACAACTTCACAGCTCCATACCGCACCGGGTTGGGGTTTTTTGTTGTTGTTATCCCTCCCTCCATCCCTTTCGATCCCACAACAAAAACGCGGTCAAAACATTGCCGCGACATCACGTCAGTGGCATTCACGACAATAACGGCGACGTCCAGTCGTGTTCTGTGTCATGCTCGTCACAACATCAGAGCAACAACAACACTCATCGCGAACACCGCACTCCCATCGCGAACACCGCAAACACCGTACTCCTCATCGCGACCACCGCAGTCCCCATCGCGAACACCGCACTCCCCATCGCGAACACCGCACTCCCCATCGCGAACACCGCAAACACCGCACTCCTCATCGCGACCACCGCACTCCCCATCGCGACCACCGCACTCCCCATCGCGAACACCGCACTCCCCATCGCGAACACCGCAGTCCTCATCGCGACGACCGCACTCCCCATCGCGAACACCGCACTCCCCATCGCGAACACCGCACTCCTCATCGCGAACACCGCACTCGCCATCGCGAACACCGCAGTCCCCATCGCGACCACCGCACTCCCCATCGCGACCACCGCAGTCTGCTGCTTCCACGCTGGGTACGACGCCGTGCGTCCACAGCGCCGTCGGGGTCGCGCTTTGTGGTGACCGCGCTGCTGCTGGTGGTGGTAGCGGCAGCAGCAGCGGTGGCGGCGGCGCTTTGTTGGAACGTGGCACAACAAACTAAACAAAGCTGGCCCGTGTAGCCTGTAACGGACTGGAGGGGCAAGTGCTGTTAGCGAGCACCTATTAAGGCCGACACGGCACACGAGGGCGTGGGTGGCCAACACCACGCCCGGCCGCCTTTGTCTCCCCAGTGGCGATGTTTTAACGCACCGCGCCAGCTACTTATTTGAGGCCGAGTCGACCTAGGGGAGGCCCAGGAACCGGTTCAGAGAATCGTCACTGGTGTTGGCCGTGAATGGGAATCGAACTCGGGTGGCCGGGTTCGCTGCGCAGCGTCGCGCTAACCGCTACCCCCCCCCACACACAGACAGATGGGGGGGGGGGGTCTTTTGGAAACGCAACGCTCACCTACAATTACATGACCGAAGATGACGCTTTGTATAATATATTAAAAAGAAACACATCAAAACAGAAGCATAATGTAACGTCGTTTGTTAAACCTGTGTGTTGCCCATGATGCGTCCGGTAGCTTGTTTTGCATGAAAGAAAAATGATCAGATTCAAATCTGCTTGTAAAAAGCATTTGAATGAAATAAGATTCGTTGTTGTGAAACGTCTCGGAAGAGAGGTTTATTATTTTATTCTATCTAAACGGTTGCGTCGATAAAAGGTTGCGCAGTAGCACAGCTCATTTCTCTTATTTTTAAATACCCCAAACCCCGAGCACTCACTCGCCTTGTAGAGCAAGAGGAGGAGGTTGGCGGTGGATGACTGCTGTGGTCTTTGTGGGATCGGTCGTGGTGGTGGTGGTTGCTGCAGTAGCAGCAGCTGAGCGCGTGGGACCTCGCTCCTCTCGCTCCACTCTCAACCCCTCCGCTCATTCACCCGAGCCGCTCTTTATATTGCCGCCTTCTCACGCCTCCCATTGGCTGCTCTCCTCCACGTGACGTTGTTCAACCTCCTCCCCCCGTGTTGAGTTTTTTTTCCCAATGGGGGTGGGGGCGATGTGGTATGGGCTGGACCATTGTTGTTGTTTTGGGGGAGGTGATTGGATGGCCTCGACCATTGCTGGGAAATGGGAAGGAGGAGGGTTGGGGGGATTTGTCGCTCGTAATAGGAAGGAGAAATCCATTGCCCCGAATCTTTGTCATGTTTTTTTCTTTTGTAAGCCAACGTTTGGAAAAAAATATGAAAAATTATAAATTCACCTTTTAATATGTCAATCAGGGTGCAGCCTTCATCTAGCAGTGGATTCACCATAACTAATGATGATGAAGGGTGGAGTAGTGGTATAGTGGTTATCACGCTGTGCTATGAACCCGGTGACCCAAAGTTCAACTCCCATGCGCGGCTAACGTGAGTGACCAGTGGTTTCAGAACTGGTCCAGCCCGCCACCCCCTTCGCCTACCCGCACTGACCAGCGCGGGGAAGTATGGCAAAACAAAACACTGCTATGGCGTTGAAAAGCCTTCATCCACTGGTGGATTGAGGATGGCAGGAATGTAAATATGTCGTGTCAGCAAAGTTCATGGCCGTGGGATCTTGCACGGTGATGAGTAATGGCGCGGTGCGCGTGTGTGGTGATGCGTAGAGGTGAGGTGATGATCAGGATCACTCATCTCTCTGTTTGTCGTCAGTTCCAATCCAGGTCGGGGGTTGTCACGGGCAGAATATCTTTCGAGTGATCGTGGCCACGATTACAACAAGAAGTTACAGAAACATTCAACAGATACGCAGCGTGACTATTGTACGAATGTGTAAACAGACGAGGGGTGGTACGATGCCAAATGCAATCTGGAGTTATCGGAAAGGACGGGACAGCTCAGCATTAAATTGTGACGTCGCTGGCGGTGAAACCACGCCAGTGCACACGTTTGAAGCAATGCACGGATCCCAGGTGTTTGGGAAATTCAGAGGGAAGACGAAGTTAGTTGTTTATTTTCTCCCTGGCACAGTCTACTTGAGTGTCGTGGGGCATCTACCATGTTGAGGTTTTGGGTCCTGAACAAACCCCACGGATAGGAAAGGAACAGGGTTGTGTGTATGTTGAACTTCTTTTGCACCGTACGTAGCCAACCGTGCTAATCAGAGGTGCGGTGGGAAGGACCACAAACTAAACAAAAATCATTTCTTACTCAATGAGTTTTCAATTTAATGTATGCTTTAGAGATGAACCTGGCCCAGGGAATCTCCCTCTGCGTTTATAGAGGAGGTGATAACCGGTCTTGCAGGCAAGAAACTAGTAATTAGTCGAAGTAAGATCATGTGCAAGGCAGAATTAAAGATAGGATTTGGGAAATCCGAGTGGTTGTAGCGGTTGATTTGTATTTGATGTCAGCGTAGTCTCCACTGCGAGTTATTTTAACCTTCTGTATACTTAATTAATGGGGCGGAGCGGTGGCACAACGATTAGCGAATTGCTCTTAAGATCAGTGTTGAGTGTTTATTGAAACTGGTCATTGGGCATTCTCTTCACCAACCCACACCGACCAGCATGGTAAAGCACGGTGAAACGATCCCATGGGGAGGCCTTCATCCAGCAGTGGATTGGCAAAGGCTTGTACACTACATATAGTACACAATTCGGTCGCTACCAGCGGGTAACTTCCCACCGCTGGGAAAAGGTCTCCCCCATTTTTGTTCCAATCCCTCCTTCATCAACAATGGTCCTGTCACAAAATGTCACCGCGGCGGCGGCGGTGGCGGAGGAGGCGAGTACAGCAGAGAAACCGATAACATCTGCTGCACCCAGCCACGGCTACACTTGCTGCGTTACCCACGCACACATCACCGCCCTCCTACCTCCACCAGCGACACAATTAGGGCTGTAGAGTGCTACCCAAGCTCCGTCTGGAGGTAGCCGGCTAGCTCCGGGCGCTCGATGCTGGCACGACAGGGTCGCTTGACGGGCACCGCTGGAGGTCGTGGGTTTGCATCTGGGGTTGCAGGCAGCCATGACTGAACCCTACACGGCTGAGTCAGTTGACGGCCTCAGCCCAGACGGCAATGACCGTACACATAAAAAAAACACGCGGGGAAAAATACATGACATTAAATGTAGATTGGTGCTTAATCTATATATTTTTTTGTTGCCCCAGAAGTCCTCCAACAAATGTGGGCCCCATCAAGTGAACAGAGAGGCCGCCTCCAGTCACTTCCCAAGCCGTTCTGGGATGTTTCTACCGCGTGTCAGCGGCATTCTCCGCACAATGATGCGTCACGGTTATTTTGTGTTTTAGTTTTATATAGCTCAGTCTCAAACTAGAACCCATTTCTTACAAAAAGGGTCCTTGCCTAGAGGCTTGCGGGCAGTTCACCAGCATTGGTTCACGCGTGCTTGACTCTGCCAACGAGGTGGTGAGTGGTGAAACCGGGCCAGCGTTTTGCTCCTACCAATGCCGCTGATAAAGATGCACTGCCGGAAGGACGCAGTAGGTTGTCTAAAAATGTATTAACATTTGTTTTATGTGGAGAGACAAATAATGGAAGGGGGGCCTTGTTTATTGTGAGTCTACGCTGCTCGCTGTGAGATTTACGAATGGAAATGTCTTCCCTTGTGGCACAACGCCCGCAACAAGATTAGAAAATCATTGGGAGCTAAACACCCCAAAAAAACAACGCTTACTGTAAACTTTAATCTTAACCAAAATCATCAACCTCGTCTCGTGGTCTCAATGCACGTGCAGTACAGATTGTCGAGACCTCAAAAGCGGCTGTCCTACGGATAAACTGGTCACCGCCATGGGAACGTGACATTCACTCCGCTTATTCAGCCTGCGCGCCCCTTGACGCTCGCTGGGGCGGTGAGACTGTTTGACTTGGTGAACGATTCCTCCAAATCGCCTTTTCGGCACGCGAGGCCACTTAGTGGGGTTGTCGATAGTTTTAATTCACACGCTATTCTGTGCGTGAAGAGCCCTGAAGTATCAACTATTTAAATGTTGTACTTAAAACATTTAAATGGGGGTTATAGAGGGGTGATTGTTATCACGAAGGTATCTTGAAGGCTCGCCAATTCAAGCCATACGGATGGAATTTACCACCGCAGGATGGGAAACAAAGGCATGGAAAAGAAGCCACAGTAAGGCTGAGTGGTAAAAGCCATATACGGATGGACTATACCACTGAACGTACGGGGAGGTGTTTAAAGTGATTCATAAATAAGGCATCCTTAAGGCTTGTCTCATCAAAGCAATACATAACATTAATAATAAAGTAATCTTAATGGCTATTTTAAATCATTGAGCAGTGATAGCAGAATAACTGGATCACTCAAAGGCCAAAGTGTCTCCTTGCTCAAATAAACTTGGTGTGTCGCTTACCTCCGAAGGCGATCCTAAGCCAGTGGTGGAAATGACACGTTCCCAATGTGAGGGCCAGCATGTCCATGGGACAACCACTGACAGGTGGGTGTCCCACAATCTAGTACCTAACCCAAGTTGACTCCCCATTGGTGTGCCTGCATGCGAAGCAGTCCAGCTAGTGGGTTTCAGAATGTACCTATAGAAATGCGGTCACCCAACCCCTATATACAATCAATGCCCACATCTAACTTGCAACGGGGATGCTGAAACCCAGCCGCCCAGCGCCTGTTTGCTTGCAGAGCCAAGGTAAAGCGCTGCAATTGCTGCATGATGTCACTGCTTGTGAAAGGGCTTCCACTCTAGGGAGCTCTAGAGGGTATTGGTCTACTCTTCCACGCTGGTCAGAGTCTTGGAAGAGGTTGGGGATACCCACGCTTTGTCCCACCATATGCGGCCTGCCGATTGCCTCGCTGTGGTGTTTTTTTGTTGTTGATACTTTTGAGTTGACAGAGGCGGTGGGGCGGGGGATTTAAGAACCTCGCTCGTTGTTTCAACTGCTCCCCTGAGAAATGGAACCGGTGCAAGTATAGTGGGGCAGCAGTGTCGCGTCGGTTCATCCACCCCGGCAGCCTAGGTTCGATTCCTGGCCATGCACAACATCAATAGCATCTGCAGGTATCTGACCCCATTGTGGGCCTTCCACACGTAGACTCAACCTTAAATAGGAACCTGGTGGTGTTGTGTGTGCGTGTATGTAAGTTCCGGGAAGATCAAAGTAGCCAGGTGGTAGGTGCTGGTACCCTCGCCGCTCCACTGCAAGACGAAACCCACACAGGGGATGTTTGTCTCTGTAAGCGAACCTCGTGTATTTTACTCATGCCAGGGGAGCCCTTTTGTGAATACCGCTGTAGGAATGCGATCCTTTAGTGAATAGGTTAATGTTCGCTGCATAACATTGAAAAATGTGTAAGCACGCATTCAGACATAGACACGTCTCACGCTCTAAGTTGTATTTTGTGTAACCGGCTGAGAACTCTTAATCATAATCAAAATATATATTTATACTGGAGGAATCCAATGAGCTATAAAGCTATTTTTTCAAAGATGTCCTGGTAGTGGGGAGGCCAGGATAATTCTGAATTGCGAGAGTAATCTGGGGTGCGATGATTGCTGCTCCGGGTGTGTGTGATCGAGTAACCTTGCGGGTAATGTTATCAAGTGTGGCAAATTTGACGCCGGCACCCAATGGCCAACTACTCTAGCGAATGCCGTGTGTGTGTGTGGGGGGGGGGGGGGGGGCGCAGACGGCGCGTATTGCCATTGTCATGGTTAACACTCAGCACCGCAGTAATAACCAGAGGGGCCGCCGAGGCCAAACCGTCAACCTCTGCAACGAGCGCGACCTTGCGCTGCCCGCTAGGCGCCACGTCGAGGCTGTACAGTAATGGGATAACGGATTAACACGCCGCTGGCAGCGCAATCAGCGTGTGTTTAGTCAACATTACGTGAGACGCGTGAGTCACTGGGTGGGTATTTGTATTAACCGGACAACATTGCCTATCCGGCGACGGCAGGTATAGACGGATATGT